CTCCGGTCTGTACATAAATTTTTAACATGTCCTTTGTAAGGCAATAATGGAAATATTTTTATTTTGCACTCTATTGCAATGCATGAAATTTATCATGTAAAAACATAATGAACAAAGGTACACTATATTTCTGAGATAGACGTTACATAAAGTCCATTTTTAAAGAGAGGAAACAGGACGCCGGTTGACCCTGGATTGACCTCGCAAAGGGGAATAACTTTTGTAAATGTGAAAGTCCATGAAAGTTTATGGTACATTTCAATCTCTGTAACTTGTATTAAGTTGGGAAAACTGACACCATGTGCACCTTGTCAAAATGATCAGAAAAATAACAGAAAAATATCAATGACAGCCATCATTAAAATTAATTTGCATTACAAAAGAACAAATATTATATACAAACTTATAAAAAATTTTATTGATAACTTTGCAATATAACTCTGTATCATTACATCTAATTGACACAATATTCAAAAGTTATTTTTTTTTTATTTATGGGCATTGCAGAGATTTAATTCACAGTATTTTAATGCCAAGTAAATCTCTCTATACGACAGCTGTGGTAAACTGGTTGATTAACTATTGTGAATTAAAATTTTATTTTTACAAAAAGGCTATTCAGTAAGATTATTATGACATCATTTGTAAATCATGTCATGTATGCAATTGATTAACATACCTTATTTTATGCAAGTGTGAATAAAATAAATCTTTTGAGAAAAATGGTTCATTTGCAAATTTAACACATATTTTTATGGACTGGTAGAATTGAAAGCTTGATAAAACACAACATCTTTGGCTACTAAATTTTACAAGTTTGATTTTCTCCCTTAGAAATAATTACATATTTAGACTAAACAATGGAATACATTAAGTAAAATTTTATTTTAGCAAAGACAAGTGAAAAGTTGAGTGAAGAAAAAGCAAACAAGGCTTAATCAATAGGCCACTGGCGATGAAGAAAAAAATGTACATCTAAAGAAGATACATCAGTGATCAACAAAAGACTTATAAAAGTAGGGGGGATATTAATTTGGTCTGTTTATCTTTCTGTTTGTCAATCTGTCTGTCTGTAACAGGCTTTCTCTTAACATTTCCAAAAAGCCATCAGATATTGCAATGACATTTTATATTATAACTGTGTGTTTGACGATCCCACTGCAGAACATGATTAAAAATACAAATTTAATATTGTTTATAAATTAAAACATATATATTTTGAAATGAAATGGTCAGAGGTCAAGGCCTCTTTCGGGGGCACATTTTTTTTTTATCTGGAATTGCCAATTTACCTTTTGCCATAACTTTTGAATTATGAGAGATATAGATACTTAATATTTGATATACATTTTTTCAAATGGAGGAAGATCAATGACCTTGACTGTCATCGTTATGCTAAAATAAAACTTATTGAATCTTTTACTTTTGAACCATAAAAAATATTTTATATTGAGTATCATACTCCACTAATTAAGTTCTTTCAAATTACATCAAGGTTAATGACCTTGTGACTTTGACCTATATGTTTTTGTTTTTGTTATATGTTTTTTCAGGGAACTTTGTTGAACCAGGTGCATACTGTTTTTTATTTTTTTATGGGGGGGGGCCTTATTGAATAGTTCTGTTTGGTAGGTGAATCTTTTATTGTACAGAAAGAAGGATGGGGAAGGGCCTCACCCCTACTCTCTACACTAGGTTGTTGATTTAAATATTTTTTTATTATTATTAATATTTGTCATTGTACATGTATATCATAAATATTCTATGAGAGCTGGTTATTCCATAGTTTGAAAATAAGGTCTGTTTCCCCCCTTGTGTGTAAATCATGACAGAAGGTCATAACTGCACTATAATGTTACAGCAGTAAAATTGTAAAGAATTTGTTTATCAGATAATCAGCATTCTTTAAAAATTATTTTATGTATTATTTTTTCTGTGTGGCCATGAATTTTTATAATGCATACATTCATTAAAAAGGATCTTATAATTCTGCTTTGTTGCTATGTATGATTTTTTTTATAATATATGTCCGTTATTGTTTGGAAATTCTGGAATTCCTGATTTATCATTTTAAGGTTGATTTTCCTGGGATATCCTGGGAAGTCTTGGTGTTTTGATTCCTGGGATTTTTCTAGAACCCCTATGGGACTGCAACATCAAGGTCCAAAAACATTCAGGAAATTTATGAATTTTCAGATTTATTTTTTTCATTGAAATAGTCAGTTCACAAATAATTTTTCAACTCCTCTGTGACCAGAAAGTGTTGCAGCAGGATCTATGGACTTAGAGAACTTAATATTTTGGTATCATGTACTTGACCAGAAATCTTTTAAAGTTTTCAACTGTTTACTCTTGGGTTGAGTATGGTAACAAGACTTCTACAAGGTAAATTCGGACTTCAGTGCTTTGGGAACACAGTTGAACCTCTTTGTCTTGAAATTTGATATATCAAACCTGTAAAATACTGGTGCTTTAAAAATATTGATGGGACCTGAAAGTTTCAACCCTTTTTCATAAGTTGTCTTTTTCACTTCCAAAATACTCCTTTATTTGAGTGTGTTTGCTGGATGCTGAAAGTAAAGGGACTATATACATGATATATGAAATGTTTTTCCCAAGTCTAATTCTGTAGTAACCTGGAAAAAAGTGATTGGCTGCAAATTTATATATCCTTCAAACAGCAAGTTTTGAAGTGTAATTTTGTATGTTTATATATTCAAACATTTAGTTTGAACAAATGAATATAAATAATCAAAAATTACACCCTTTAACCCCCTACCCCCTCCAAATAATAAATGAATGAAATATGAATTAAGACATATTTTCAAAATCCTGGCTTCTGAAGAAATTTTTAAAAGCAAATTCTACTATGCATTATTCTGCAAATGTAGAGTGTAGCTCTAGGCAGTTTTGCAGCATGTGTAGTGGGGGTAATACCACTCTATGAAAAAAGGCTAATTGTTTCTATTAATCTGACAATTATCTGCGGACCTTTGAAATGACCTTTACATTAAATACCAGGGGAAATAGAATTTTGAGAATAGGATAGGTTATGATAAAGAGTCAAATTTTTTTTGGAGAAAAAGGTGTATGTTTCAAGCTTATAGTCACCCTTTTGAATGAGAAAACATGCATAGGAAAGGAAAAAAGTTGTTTCATACATTGTGTTTATTTTTGACATTTCTTTTGGGAGGAGAAGGTTTAGATAAAAAGGAAAATGAATAAAAAAGTCTCTGGAAATGCATTTCCCCCCCCCCCCCCCTTCCATCTTGCCATGATTTCATTCTCAATCCTAAATTTTATTGGACAAATTAAATTATGTAATTTAAACTGTGAGAATTAGCTATGATTTAGTTACTGCAACATTGCAAACAACTGATTGGCCGAAGTTGAATTAAAAAATATTGAAATTGATGAAAAGAATTTTAAGAAAAAAAAAATTTGAACTTAAGTTTTGTCCTTCACTAATATTTTAAAAATATAAATATATTAATACATTTTCATAGTAGACAAAATATGTCTTTTGCATAAACAACCAAAGACGCATACCACCAACACATTTGTCAAATATTTGGTATTGTTATAAAAGCTTATACGGACACAGCATTACTCTGTCTAAATAATGTTAGTACAAGAAGTAGCCTGACTGCATGTTCTTAAACCATGTGTGGAATTTAATTTTAAATCAGGGCATATTGGAGAAGTCCGATATTATAGGCCTGTGTTTTGTGTGTGTATAAAGTCGTAACAAAAGCCCGGGGTATATAAACCTCTTACACAACTTTTTGTTGGGCGGTGCTTACGTCAATGGTGGCGTAGTGTTAACGGGGGTCCTATAGTCAACACTAGCTAATCCCCTACAACAATGACCAGCTTATTGTCAGATACGCACACAAGCTGCACAAAAGGTTCAAAAATTTTTTTAACCTGACTAGAAATAATTTTAAAAAAGAAAGAAAAAGAACTTTTTCTCCATCAGTCACCAGCTTTTTTATCAAAAACTAACACAAGCTGCACAAAAAGTTAAAAAATAATTATGTTTTTGTTTGAGCTATGGTATATGAAATTATAAAAATAGAAAAATGAATTGCATAAGTGGACAAAATTAAACTGGACCATTGGCAGTCCAAAAAAAAAAAAGAAGTGCATTTAAAAACTGGATTTTTATTTTGTAAAACAATGTCATTGGTAAAAGTTTTCGTTTGAGAAAATTGGGATATGAATTTGAAAAAAGACACACAGAATATTTGCTTTGATCATGTTGAGGAGCAGTGATGGACATCCTTATGTGAATTGTGAACTTTAAGAGGTCAGTGAAATCAAGTTTGGGATTGGCTAATCCCTGGCTTACTGAATTTCAATGACGCTATTATGCAATATCTAAACTGACCTCTCACATGGTCAAAGGTCAAGAATTGATTGAGCTGGGGGGAGATTTAATAGTTAGGAGTAGTGCCAAAATTCTGTAGTAGTATTTGTTTCGGACACAAGAAAACAAAAGAAAAACAAAACAGTACTACATATTGTTGAAACAGTTTTTCAATGTTTTCATGTCTATAGGTAGAAAAAAAGTAAAGAAAAAATTAAACATTTTCAAAAAAAAATAATTGTAAACTTTTCACATTTAAAAAAATACTTTTTGTTAAAAAGTTTTTCAATGTTTTTCATAAAGGTAGAAAAAAAAGGAAAGAAAAAATTAAAACATTACAAAAAAAAAAAAATTCTTAACTTTATACATTGGAAAAAGAATTTTGGGATCATAATCCTTGCATTCTGACCAAAAATCCATGCTTTCATAGCCATATTGAAATTCTGTGTTTCTATGTAGTTACTAGTTACTACGTGAATAATTGAAATCCCTAGAAATTTTCTGAAGAGATCCTGTAGATTTCCTGGCATTGTTTTCCAGGGAGGATCTAAAAATTTTTTTACCTTTCACTATTTTTTACAGGGGAGGATCTAAAAATTTTCACAAAGCTTTCATTGTTTTTTTTTTTCAGGGGAGGATCTCACATCTACGGGTATTTCATTAACACGACCGGACAGCTACAATGTAGTGGCGCAGAAGGGGAACCCCCTGCTTCTGAATTGTACCGTGGAGTCCAACAGCTCCACGAAATTCACGTGGTACAAGAATGGGCAGCGGCTACAGCTGGAGAATCAGCGGCGGGTACAGGTCATAAACGGGTCACTTTCTTTCAAGCGGGTCCTGTACCGCCGCAAGAAGAACATCACCGATGAGGGCGTGTACGAGTGCCACGTCCGGAACAACATTGGCAGCATTATCGCAAAACGGGTCAAAGTCAACATTGCGGGTAAGTCACGTAAATTAGGATTGCGGAAAAGTTCTGTAATTCAGATTGCGGGTAATTTGTGAATTCATGATTGCGGGTTATTCGTGTAATTAAGGGTTGTGGTTATTCATGTAAATAAATTAAGATTGTCTTATAAAGATTGCTGGTAATTCGTGTAATAAGGATTGTGGGTAATTCATGTAATTAGAATTGTGGGTAATTTCTTGTGATTAGGATTATGGATAATTCGTTTAATGAGAATTGTGGGTAATTTGTGTAATTAAAATTACGAGAATTTCTTATAATAAGGATTGTGGGTAAGTGATCACAGGTTGCGGATGTATTGTGAAATTAAGGTTTCAGATGTCAGCTTTTCTCCATTTGGGGATTCCAGTATGTTTAATTTTTGAGTGAACTGTAAATTTTGGAGAGTGTTAAATGCCCAGAATACAATTCCCCAAAAAGATATTAAAATCGTGTTTATTTTAATTTTTTTTTTGACAACATTGAATAATAGGATATTGGTATAATAAAATAAGCAACACTTGTTAAACATTTGTGAGTAATGATCTATCATAAAAAAAATTCATTGAAATCTAATGATAGCATATAATTGTACTAGGTAACATATTGCTTAGCCTCTAGGCAAAAGATTGGCAAGTAAAATACATGTTTACCCAAATAATTATTACTGTAATAGTATCGCATTCTTATAACAAAGTGCCAGGGGTAGACAATTTTCTTTGTTTTATATATAAATTGCAATATCCATTAATTTTACATTATAATTTAAAGTCATTTGAAGGGAATGAAAAATACTTTGCTCTAAGTGTCATCATTCAAGTATACTCACTTAGGCCAAAAAAAAAATACTCTTGTTTCCTGTCCCCTGACAAAAAAAAAATTAAGGTAGGTAGGTAGGGAAAAAAAATTCATTTTGAGAAAAAATTTTATTTTCAAAACTCAATGAATGCAGAACATATAGCATGTAATAAGAACAAGAAAATGGTATATTAACAGTTTACAAAGCAAATTTGTTAATAAAGATTAATAAAGTAAAGGTATCCTGTACACTTATGATGTATTAGTTCTGTAAATTAATGTTGGTCGACTTTAGTATTACAGGAAAATAGTCCCCCCCCCCCAAAAAAAAAATGAAAATGTAATAAAAACTTTTAGCGTCAGAGGGTAAAATGTAGGTCGGGTGATAGGAAACAAAAGTATTTTTTATTTTGGCCTTACAAGGTTTTTACTGTAGTAATTAATAATCTCCATAATGATTTAATGAATTGTATTGTAAGAATCCAGGGTTATGCGTTAGAATTGAATTTTCAAGTGAAATGAAGAAATGAAAAAAAAAAAGTAAAAGTGATACTGCAAGGGGATTCTTCACTTACAAAAGGTTGAAGGGGGATACAGTGTATCAGAATAGTAGAGGGATTTTGACATTAAGTGCAGGAAATTTCACCCTGTTTAAGGGACAATCTTGTGACTCGTAAGTGAAGAGATGGTATATCTAGAGCATGGCGTTTTCCCGAATTTTTCTGTAAACGAGAGACTGCATGACAACATTTCTATATCTGGCTGCTGTTATCGTAACACATATATAGGTATCAAATAACTCGCCAGGCTTTTAAGTAATTCTATTTATTACCTGATGACAGAATATTACCTGAAAATGTCAGGTAAAAATATCACCAGACCTATATATATATACTATTATGAGGGTTCTATATTTGTCGTACCAGTTTTCATATCCTAGGTAGGGATTACGAAAATTACTTTTCAAAGTTACTGCAATCTGGATATATATGCTGTTTGAATGTTTTTAAATTAGCAAAAAATGACGATTCACTCATTACAATGACTTAAAAGATTCTGCAAGCAATCTCTTGTACAAAGTTGTGGACCGTACCTCTACGACGTGTACAATTTGCTAACATCAGAATGGGGGTCAGATTAAAAAGTATAGGACTGGAGGTATCATAACAATGGAAAATCATATTTTGAAATCACAGAACTGTGTACTATTGCAGAAATTCCGTATTTATCCAAAGAGTTTATGTTCAAACACAGGATTTAGAACCACCTCCAAAAATTATACATTAGAACAGGGGTGTGATAAGAATTTTATTTGTGTATTGTCGTATTAATGGTTTGGTAGTGATCAGGAATTCACATAAAGACCTCGAAGACACCTTCTTTATATTTTTTGTTATTTATGTACAACATGTATAAGCTGAACAAAGAAGATAAAATTATTCAATCAAAAATCATATCCAGCATGCCCATGCATCTAAAATAAGTCGAGTTAAGCCATTATGAAAAAAGAAAACCTATAAAAATCATCAACAGAAACCATTTACATTACTGAAAACTGCTCAAATGTTATCTACATATACATGTAAAGAAATAGCAAATATGATAATGTCATCATAGAATTATGCATCTTGAATTAAAAGCTGATTTTGCTGACAAAAATCTAATTGTTTTGTTCAGTAGCAAAGTTATTGTTAATAAACAGGTCATCATGGCCTAAAAAAAATATTTTGTCACCAGAATTATATCAGTCATAGTAATATATAAACATCCTTTTACATGTACAGTCTGTTTATTGTCTTTGATTGTTTACATAACAGAGAATTCCAAGTATGTGTATCGGTGTAGAAACCTTCGTATCATAATATGATATAAATCATTTCTAAGTGATTTATTCACACACACACAAAAAAAATGGCGAACCAATCAATAGGCCTCCGATTATCCTCTTAGAGATTATTCACCCCGCTGGGGGCCCCAGCCATGTTTTGAAGAAAAATAGTTCCATCATTTTTTGTGGGGGTTAGCGATTACTGTGAGAGTTTTCACTAAGTATTTTAGATGGATATATGTTAGGATATATGACAAACCTGTGTGTGATTTTGTACTTCCCTGAAGAGGAGGTGAATTAGTTGATTGATTTCACTGGGGAGGTTGTATACAGCGCCAGAGTTTGTTGTTTTTTGATGGGATTTGGAATCGGGCGGCTTTCTGCATCATTTTCTCCGTTTGACCTGCCTAGGCCAGGTCACTCTTCCCACAACAAGGATCATGGGAGGCCCCCTCAAGGGGACAAAGGAATGTGTTTATATCGATAACAGGGTTTGTGTGGTATTTTTAGATATTGCTTCACTGGGGAAAAAATAACACAAAGTTAAGGAAGAGAGAGACCAACACCAAAAAAAAAAATACATAAAAAAAAAAAGTTAGCAGAAAAAAATCTGTTAGATTTAATGCTTGGACTTCTGTGAAGTTTTATTTTTATTTTCAATAATACATCAATATGAGAATGTAAATACAAATTTTTCCTTTTCATGACATTTAAATCACCCAACAAATGCTCTATGAGAATGTAAATACAAATTTTTCCTTTTCATGACATTTAAATCACCCAACAAATGCTCTCTGAATGGAAGAGAGAAAAATATAGGCGAGGATAAAAATAGGTAAATATGTACAAGTGTATCATGTAACATGTTAATTTAGGTCAAGTTGTTAGCAGATAAGGGCTCTGACATATTATAGCACTTGTTGACATTGCGGGGAAAAAATTTTTTTCTTTAAAGGACACCGGCAGGTTTTTATGTTTAAATTAGGAACACGATCTGTCGGGTCGATAAAGTTAACTCATGAATGGAAAAACAAGTTGGACTGACAGATCGGGGCAGAAACTCATTCACTACCGGGATTAGTGTTAAATATGTAGCATAAAAAAAGCTACCGAGTGATTTATCTCCGGTTGTTGTGACATCAGGGGTCGAGCGAGTCTCGTTCACGAAAAGCACATATTAAATTACGCTTTAACCTTGGCAACTAACCATGTAATGCAATGGGTGTATAGAAATATTTGGTATATATCTGAGTATCATGCACTTGGAATAATAAATTTTGATGGCTGGGGAAGTGTTTATATTTTAATTGTATTTTTTGCATTTGATAAAATATGAACTTTTCTTGAAATTCTGATGGGTGTCTTATTGATACTTTAGAATAGGATCATGTTATAAATGAACATGAGTTAAGCACTGCAAGCCTCTTTCTTTTTTTTTACCATTTTTGGCTAATAAAATTATACACGATATTGATATTTTTAAAGCAGAATTAACTTGTCCAGAGGTGCTTTCTTTGCTAGATTTCATCAGATAAAATCATGTAGGATCATGAAGAATATTTCTGATTAAAAATGAATTTCATTAATCTTATCTAACCCGAAATCCTTTAGTTTTGAATTTAGATTTTAATTATTATAATGCAATTATAGTATTGTTATGCCCTTGTGTATCTTATTGTCCTCAGCAATTTCTCTGGCAAACATCTAGTCAGGACTCGACATTAACACTTGTCCGCTTGTCCGGCACCAGTGAAAAGAAAATACGGACAAGTGAATATTGCTGGGCACTTGTCCGATTGGACCAGTGCATTTTAATGTAAAGGAGTCTATAATAAATAAAAAGAACGACTATTGACAGCTAACCGGTAGTTTCAAGATGGAAGCTGTACATAAGACCCAGACTTCGATCCCAATTTGTATCACTATATTAATATTGATACACATTTTAAGCACAATTTTATAATCTCTCATCTTTTGAAAAATTTTCCCTGCAATGTAACTAAGTAAAAAAAATTGGTATATCACTTTGATTAATCGTAACGAAAGTTATTTCGTCGATTTTATGACGCATAGAAATTGACAGTAATCTTTAATGCAGAATAAATTGTTAGCTACAAAATTCTTCTGATCTCAACACCCTCACCAAAAACAAAACAATTGAATCCCTTCTAAATTTTCTGCTTAGTATCGACTCCACAGAAAAGCATATTGACCTCGCACAATATACTATATAAATCACCTATCTATCTAAAAGTGCCCTGCAATGAGAGAAGAAGGGGGTACAGATTAGAGTGCCCTGAACGGGACCAAGGTCCCGGAGTTCACTGAACTCCGCACACTCCAGTCTTTTCAGTTATTTATCGAGGATTGA